GATTGATTGATTGATTGATTGATTGATTGATTGATTGATTGATTGCCTTCGAGTCAGTCCTACTCCTGGACTAGTCCCTGCAGTTTTCTTGGCAAGGTTTTTCAGAAGTGGTTTGCCATTGCCTCCTTCCTAGGGCTGAGAGAGAGTGACTGGCCGAAGGTCACCCAGCTAGCTTTGTGCCTAAGGCAGGACTAGAACTCACAGTCTCCTGGTTTCTAGCCTGGTCCCTTAACTACTACACCAAACTGGTTCTCCTTAAGGCACAAATACCTACTTATAAATGCTTAGGTCATATACTGTGTTTATGTCAACACAGAATTAAATCCCATTTACTTATCCCCAAGTAACTATGTTCAGGATTACAGCTTTGGCCAACTTGTAATATCAGCCTTATAAGATATAAAACCCTGCTTCACTTAGGCATAAACAAAGCACAAAAATAGCTAAAGAATTCTCTTACACTGCTTATTTACAAAAACTATCACATAGTATAGACATAATACTATACTAAGTGAAGGAAACTGTGAATGAATGAATGAATGAATGAATGAATGAATGAATGAATGAATGAATGAATGAATGAACAAATGAGTGAATAAAAGGAAAGGCAGTTTCCTTAATGCTTAACAGAGGGGATTTGGTTGAAACCAATACTGGTCAAAGATGTGAAGTTAATCTGAATCCTGGCATTAACTACTGCTGTGAACAAATTTCCATTTCCATTTATACACCTTGGTGGACTTTCCTTCTGCGTCAAAGCAAGCAAAGGAGGATGGGGAATCTGAAGGTGCTTTAAATAAAAAAAACACCTATATTTAAACCAACAGCCCTCAAAATGCCAAAGGGCTTGTGATATTTTACAGAATAATCCATTTAGTTGGCAGACATTTCAAGGTACCAAAGCACCACAATCAGAAATGGGAAGTACTAGTAGAGAAAATGCATTATAATCAGTATACTTGTAGCAGCTAAAGAAAGGCATTTTATGATAGCTTTATCCAGAAGGGCAGCTATATTTCAAGCAACTAAGCATCCTGACACCTTAAAGAGCCATAGATTTATAAACAGATTTTATGGACTACAATTGGATTCATCTGATGGAGGAGAACCCTAGTGCACAAGTGTTTGTGTTTTAACAAACATATTTGTTTTTAACAATCACAACCAGGCCTTCCTGAGATGTTGAAATCTTGTTTATATGGGTTAGTAATTCTTGATATAAGAAGGCATTTGTGTAAGAGTGCTGTTAGTTTCACCTGTGAATTGTTATGGGACATAATGTTAACCATTTGAGGGCATTTCACACATTCCAGATTTTGTAAGGGTGAGTACGCTAACAACTACAAATGAAATAATGTGTGAGTGAGATCAACTCATTTTTACAAAGAGATCTATCACGCTGGCATACTCAGCAGAGAGACAAGATTTGCTGCAGCCCCAATCAAGCATTTTTTTAGTGGGAGACCCAGGCTTTCTGCCATGTAATGGGAAAAATGACCCACAGACAACATTCAAGGGCAAAAACAGAAGTTGTCTATCTCTGAAAAGTTTTGAAGGGGTAGGAAGGATAGCAATGTGATCCATAAATAAGGCAGGAGAGAAGCAAAAGAGAAGAGGCTGAAGATTAGCCTTGCTGAAGGCAGCTCAGATTCTTCTGGTAAAGACACTGACAGATAATTTATCCTTCATTTTTGGGTGTACAGAAAGCTTTCTCTTAAAAGATCTTCCTTCACTATTTGGGAAAATATGATTCCTGTTCTGTGTAACTTTGCTTTGATTATAAACCCTACTTCCCTTAAAAATGAAATAAACACTGCATAAAGTAAAGAGATGTTTTCTTGCTTGCAAGCTAGTGTCTTCTCCAGTCTGGAATGATCCTCATATTTTATACATGCTGTGCTTTATCAGATCTGCCTAGTTGTTTTTTCTGCTTTGTTTTCTACAAGTGGAAAGTTGGGGAGCCAAAACAGGCCAGGGGGAAGGGGAACTTGCAAGACTGTTCTCCTTAAGAAACAGAACCTGCATGCAATACAGATAAGCACAACAGCAAAAACATAATATAACATATTTCTCTGCACCAGTATTGTGTTTCCCTATTCAACTTTTTTCTCCCCCAACATCTGTCCACTGTCCAAAGTGGTAATACCCCAGGGAGTGTTTGAACATCAGTTTTTGCTGTGTTTATAAAATGGCTCTAAGGTTGGGAAGATGTACTTAACACAAATCAGGTATGGAAGGAATCTTGTTGGGTGCTAGGACATTGTGTTGCCCTGTTCTATAAGCTGAATGCACACAAATGATGCATCATAGACTACACTAAGCTAAACTAGGTTGCAATCCAGTCTGCAGTGTATATAGGCCATATGGTGGCTTAACATGATGGCCTGATTCAGCATAATTTGGAAGACACAGTGATAGTCTTCCAAATTATGGTGAATCAGGCCATTATGTTAAGCCACCATATGGCCTATATGTTCAGGGATAGATGATTATGTGAATGTGGCAACTGCATTCAGATTTAGCATAGAAATGCCAATTCATCCACCCTTGAAAAATCACATTGTATCTTTCCACCAAACTCTATTTTGCACACCTTTCCTCTACATATTACCCCTATGCATTTAACTTCATATTCCTCTGCATCCACGGAAAACAACATTCACACCCAGAGATTCTGCTTACCAATCAACAATGAAACAAAAATGAAGCTGTTTCAGGGCTCAGTTGCCATCCAAATAATGTAGGCATTAAATGGGAGAGGGAAAGAGGGTCAAGGGCAGGGGTAGCAGATCTGGACTGCAAAAACAGTCCTTTACAACAGGACAACTTTAGCTCGGGGATCAGAATCTATGTCCTGTGGTGGGATATGTTGGGAACTGCAGTCCAGCAACACCTAGGAGGTTATAACCCAGTCTGAATTATCGTCATTGTCAGAAGCAATGATCAAACTAAATTAATAGACCGAAGCACAGAAGAACCAACAAGCTATTGAAGATATAGCATTCCAGCAACAACAGCCTGGACATAAAGGCATTGAAAACAGTCCAAAAGATTGGGAGTTGATGGTGTTTAAATCTTTAGTAAAATAGTAGTAAAGTGACCTGAGTAACTGATCTCTCAACACCCTAAACACGCTCATGTGCAAGCTGCCAGAGTGATCTTTACTGAGTTCCTTTTTCAGGGCCAGGGCATGTGTGTGGTGAATAGGATTCCACTCACTGGGCATTCATTTTAGTTCCTTAAACGGGCACTCCATTTCGTTGGCCTTCTGTGATACCTGTGCCCCTGAGAAACAGGAAGGTGATTAGTTTCCTTCTTGGAATAGGGGAAAGGGGACTCTTTGCAACCCAAAAAGGCATGTCTCATGACCCATCCCTCAAGGGACTGTCAGGCAACCTCAGGTTCCTAGGAGCAAATTCTAAAGAGGAATTCTCTGAAGGGGAACAATAGGACGATATTTGCTTGATTCTGCAATCGTATGAATGACTTAGTCCTGCCTTGCAGCACAGTTCTAGGACAACCGACAACATGTGAACAGCTAGTAAACCATAACCCTAGCCAGGATAGTTGATGATATGACTGGGTTAGTTGGGCTTTGACTTACCATCTTAAGGGAAATCAGTAACTGTGGTTCATATGACACTTCTGAGTAGAAAAGGTACTAAACTGCATTCCTACAGAGACCCTCAAAATATATACCTGCAGTTAAAATAAAATTCTTTCCCACCATCAAGTCACAAGAATCTTACCCCAAATGTGTCTTCCTCTGGCTTATGTGTCACTGTGATGAGAGGGGAGGGACTTGGACTGTACTCATCTGAAACCAAAGGAGCAAAAGAAGAAAAAGTTTATTTCACAGTTCAGAGAAACGTGTACATACATGATCAATATTATACTTCACATGTGTATGCATATAATACATGCTTTACTCTTAGAAAATCTCTGTTCATTCCTTCCCACTCCTGCCCCAATATCATCTTGTCACTTTATTTCCTTCACACATCCAGTTGAAGCATCCTATCCTCTTTGTCTAATTTTAAAACAAACCCATGATAAAGCTTTTAAAACAAAGCCTTTATTTCTAGGTTGTTGTTGTTGTCTGGCACTGTTACCCCTCTGCCATCACATTTACCTCAATTAATGGTCCTGAAGATGTTTCTAAATTACCAATCCCAACACCCCTGGTAGTATACCCATTGGTGAAAAGACACAGAAAGATTTAATTCAACATCATCTGGAGGAACACAGATTCCCCAACTCAGAGTTACAGTCTATCATAGGCATCCAAATACTCTCAGTCAACTTATAAAAAACTAAAAGGATCCTGAGTTAGACTTGGAAAAACATGACCAAGATGGGCTTCTCTTGGTGATATACTGCCTTTGGTCATGTAGACTCCATCCTATAGCTGGCAAATTGCTGTTGATCAGATTTATACTCTTCCATAAATTGGTCCACTCCTAATCCCTTGAATTGATGGTCATCTCCATGTCTGATGGATGTTCTAATTTTCAATTGTCTGTCACTGGGAAAAGTTATTTTTTCTGTATTAATATATTGCAGGGAATCCCAACTTCTATTGTACGAAAGAAGAAACAAAATCAAAGAAAGGAAGCCCCCTCATGTTTTAAAGAACTGGTATCCTAATCCGAAGACAATATACACTTTATGCTCCTTTATTTGTTTGTAAAAAGTTACATATCCAGTTCTCGGAGGCTGTCATGTTTTCTTCTGTGAAACCTACAACAAAATACCACATTATGGAGTGTTCTTGGTCAGGGGACCAGCCAACCATGCCTTTTCTCAATATTCTGTTCCCTTTATGCATTTAGCTTCCCCTTTCATGATCAATGAGAACACCTACCATCTTCATAGCACTGTTTCTGAGTTCTCCCCTGACCGCCCACATCTCTTTTATTTTTACTTCCATCAAATCCTAGAAAAGGCTGATACTGTTTTAGCTATGCCCATAATCCTAGCAGCTTTCTCTTAGCAAATTAGAAAATACTAGTGATGTGCAGAAAAATGCTTCTGCATGCTCAGTTTGATGAAATAAATATGTTTTTTCAAAGCAAAACAGAATGTCACTGAAATTCTCATGAGTGAAGTGTGGCACTCTTGTTCTTATTTAGTGATGAAGTGGCCTAGGGCTGTATGTGAATGTTCTGGTTCCTATTGTTCAACCCCCATGAATTCCAAACATTTTTCCCATCCAGGTGCTCTCCAGTTCAGTTAGACTTTATTATGTGAGCTGGTTTAACACCTGGTGGATTCAAGCTTCAGGAATAAGGCTATATTCTACCAGTCGGAAGTTAAAAATGTTATTCATGGGAGCTGGATTAAAATATCACACCATGCCAAAAGGTGGTTTGGTTGGTTCTGGCTTCGCCTTAATTCAGTCACTGTGGTTGGTTTACAACTTAATATGCAATGCAGAACCAATACATTGTGGTTTGTTCAGCAAGCCACAGTTAAACAAAGCATGATTTAGCATGTTGTGTGACTCCAGCCATGATTGTGTACAGGCATATACATACTGTATGCAGGTGTTTGAAAGGGTGTAACACTTCGCTACAGCTTTGAATGAATCATCCCTTGGACGGGAAGCAACACCAGATTCCAAAAGTTGAAGACAAGCGGTCATTTCTCTTTGATCTATGTTAACATATAACATGAGTAGAGGTCTCTTTATCAAATTAAAGGGGGCAATTATTTCAACCCAGCCCCCTCAATGCTTTGATTGGAAGCATTAAGTCCTCTATAACCTAGGTATAGTTAGCTTCAGCAAATGTGCTGCCTTTACACTTTTGTAAAACAAAAAATGTTTTGGTAACCCATCCAGAGCCACTGAAAAATGGGTGACATATAACTTAATAAAATTAATATGCCCAGCTTTTTCCTGATTTGTCTCAGTGATGCTCTGCCCTTCAGCGCCTGCCTAAAATACGTTCTTTCTGCTCTACCAACACAAAATCTTTGGTTAAAGGTCTGAGCAATGCAGAAGATTTGTAGTCTGATCAAACAGGCAAGGAAAAACTTACATGTGTCAAAGATATCTGAAATGCCTGTAAAAGATAAAAGGAGATAAAGACAAAGGGGAGAGAGAGAGAAACAACATGGTTATCAGCATCGTTGGAGAACAGTAGTGATGCTATTAGTAAACAGTAAACCACTGGGTCAACTCCCCTTCTCTGATTTAACAGACTTTCCCACACATACAGTCTTTCATCTGATCTTTTGAAACAGATCAGGCATGTCAAGAGTTGCGGGGGCGGGGAGGGGAGAAGTAGCCATGTGTCCTAGTTTACAAAGGACATTATAGAGAACATTCCTCTATAAACTGTCTTCTGTTTTAGAAAGCTGATTGGTTCAAGTCTGGTTTTTAAAAAAAATCAGTGGGAATCAAAGGGCCCAATTTAGCTATCAGTCATTAATATCTAAACAATCAGGCAGAGTCTTCCCCACTACAGAGCAGTGAACTAGAATTTTATTTAAATTATACTAACTGCACTAAAATCTACCATAAGTAAAAGTCACCCCTTTTGATTACCTTTTTGGGAATACATTTCCTCTTTTAAAAGTGGTATGTAAGTAGCTACACTCAAAGTATTCCAAGATAATCAGTTAGATGTAGAATGGAATTGGGGGTAGGTAGTTGGTCTCCAACCCAGAAAGACTTGGGTTTAGATCTCTACTCATCCACAAAGCTTAGTAGATGACTTTGTAGATGACTTTCAGTCAGTCATTTCATGTGTCCTCACAATCTTTCTGTGAGGTAGGTTAGGTTACGGTAACTTTCAGTTTCTTGAAGGAATGACATAATGCAGACATATCAAACAAATACATCTGATGTGTGTGCTCCAAGTTTATTCTATGCAAACTTAATCCCCTATCATTTTCAACACCCTTGTGACCATAGGCACCTGATATAAAGTGCAATGATGAAAAAAATAATGAAACATGTTTCCCAACTTCATGATGAAAACCATGGTCTTTCATTGCAATGTCGGATGCAAGTAGAAGTCATGTTTGCATCACAATGTCACAATCTATGTTTCATCATTTGCCACCTTGTCCCCTGTGCAGACGCCTATGCCTGAAACCAATCTTTAAAATCACCAGAATGGCCTACCAAAAAAAAAAATATAGTCTATCTATCCAGACAAAGAAACGGACATAACTTCTGTTTTTTGCATAGACATTTGGGTAAAACCTAGCCCTAACCCTATCCCCACTTTCCTGAAAGTAAATCTAATTAAACTCAATGGATCTAAATTTGCACTGGTTACCAAGAACCTCTTTACTTTTGTGCATTGGAAGACAGAAAAAAATTGTCATATGCAGCCTCCATTCATACATCTCTGACCAGGTCCTTTAAAGACCCAGGCGATGGATTCATGCAATATTCTTTCCAGACCAAACTGCATCTTATTGGATGTTCTGCATTATTCTCATTGTCTGCTGCAGGAGCACTGCATAAAGAGCTACCAGGGTGGAGTGGGGAATGGAGACTCAAATGCAGTTACTAAATCAGAACTTTAAATCATGTTGTTCAGCAATATCTACATCAATAATTTTGACCATGACTGTCCATCTTCTTCCAGATAGCCTGAAACTGGAGCCCTTTGGCCCACCAAACATGAGTATTACTGCTGAATTACGCATGGTACCTGGGAAATTGTTCCATGCATTCATGCCCTTTGTGTAAGATCGTGGCTCTGGAGATCTTCAACTACATACTTCCATTAGCTCAATACCCAGACAGAATCCTTGATATATTCTATGAATGACTCTCAGTAATGTTCAGCTTCTACATGGCCCAGAAAAGAAAGCCAGTTTCACCTCTACCCAATATCAGAACAAACTAAAACTTAAAGGATTTAAAATCCCTTTTGAGATGGAGAACCCTGAAATGAGTTAGCTTGTACTCTTTCTCAGATGAAAGTGGCTTCTGCAACACAACACTAAGGGCACACAGGAGAGCCCCTCCAGAGGACTGTCAGCAGACCTTACAAGAAACTGAAAATACTGTCAACACAAAGGAATTTGGTTATACTGAAACACCGTTTCGCAGATCAGCATATTCTGACAATGTACGTAAGTTACAACAAATCTTGTCTTGGGAGAGTGAATTGTTTATTTGGTTACTCTGGGGGAGAGGCAAATTTAAACTTGCTTTTAAAACTCGGGGCAAAAAGTTATTTCTTCCTTCTTTTGGGGTAGGGAGGGAGACTTATGGAGAGCAATACTGGCCTGTGCCCAGTATTATTTGCTGTGTGAATATGCATCTTAATAGGTACATATCAGAGTAGCTTGCATTAAATAATTAAAACATGCAGTAAACAATATATTTCAAAAGGCATATCTATCTATCATCTATCATCTATCTATCTATGTCTAGCATTTGCCTGACCTGCTGAAAACAGAGATACAAACCTGGGGTTAGCAGACCTATTTTTCAGCTGGCAAGGGGAATCTGGAGAAAGGCTTCTAATTATGATCCCAATTATTACTCCCTAAGATTTGCATGCTCTCAAGTTGGAAAATAACTATGGTTCAGTGACAGAATAGCAGTTTTACTTGCTGAAGTTTCCAACTTCAATCTCTAGCAGCTCCAATTAGAAAGATTGAATAAAAAGTGACAGGAAAGAATTCCTGCTGATACAAATGGCTTTCTATAAAAGTAGACCATATTAAAATAGATGGATAGTTGTTTCTCCATATTCCCTTGTTTAAAAAATGTTTGCAAAACAACAACAACAGTGATCTGGGGGGAAAATGAATAATGGTCTGCAACCAGGCAAATTAGGTTTACAGTCTGTGGCATCGGTTGAGTCCTGTTTGGTGGATAAATTATGATTTTTGCACTCTATGCACCTTGACTGTGACCCCTCCTTCCAGTTTTGTGTAATGCAGACTGATTAGAGCAAAGGTTTGGCTACATAGCACTGGTTTGTAATGACACGGCTAGCCCAATATGACTAGCAAAGGAGTGATGGTCCTGTGGCCTGCATAATGGGGCTGAATTATTTCTATCCTCCTCTTGCTTCTTTTGTTGCACTCTAGAATTGTAGCAAATTGGATATCTGATGGTTGGAAACAGGCAGCAAGAGGGTGTACTCGAAACGAGCTGACAGTTAATAGCAACTCTGCTTTGAAGGATGTAAGGATGGGAGTGAAGAGATGAAAGAGAACTCATGGTTACACGTTCCCAGATCTCAAACATAAGCTCATTTCCCCAAGTGTAGAAGGCCTATTTGAAAGGTTGAAAGCTGGCTTATGCCAGGTTAAAGTATTTTAATATCCTTCTACCTAGTAATTGCCCATTGTGATTGACTGAATTCTGGTTTCAGGAACAGTAAGGTGTCCCTTATCCCTGTTATCTTGTATTTTAAATGCAGATGTCAGAGGTGCAAAGCATGTGTTCCCACTGCTAAGCTGAAATGCTCAAATTTGAATTATTTAGTCTAATATCATGCAAGAAGAGTGAGGTGTTCAAACTATACCTGGACTGGCCACTTTAGACTAGAGGTAGGGAGCAACGACAAAATTGAACAATACAAAATAGGTGACATCTCCTTTGAGCATTGAAATAGTATTGGAAATTCCAGGCTTTAGAAAACTCAGTTGTGATGGACTTTCTAATGAAATGATTACGTTCATTTGTTTACTTCAACCTTGGCCTCTTATAATATAAACTCACCTCCCAGGTGACCCTGTTGCTTGTCAATTTTATATAGCTCTTTGACTTGGTTTTGCATTTGGTTCCAATATTTAAGTTTTTGCTGGGATTGATTTATTAAATGTGTACACCACTTGACCCCCAACAACTCTGGGTGGGTTCTTTGGTTGATGTTTTTGGTCCAATGCTATCAGTTCCTTGTCCCCTACCTCTTGCTGATATATAAGAGCAACCTGTTGGCTTCTGAACTCTAACCTTGGTCTCTTTTTCATTCCTTTGGGACTAATTTAAGATTTAAGGATCTGTAAGAGTTGTTTGTTTGTTTTTTAATTGTAATTGGCATCCAGAACAGTGAAGATGCATAAAATGCACAGGGCTTATGGTCTTGTGATACAGGCTCATGCCCTGAAGCTCATCCTGTCTGGAATTTGGAGCCAGTTGCCTTATATATTTGCTTGGAATATATCCAGCAAAAGGTAACTTCATCATTTTATTTCATAACCTTCTCTGGTAATCTTTTATACTAACTTGCATCTTTAGCATATAACTGGATTGTTGGGTTTTCTCCCTCCCTTAACACACGGACTGTGCTGTAAATAAGAACCAAACCTCCCTGGTATCTTCTTTGAGCCAGCATGACCAGTTAACAGTGAGAGAAGAATTCATTTTTCCCTTTGCTTGTACCAGATTTTTGTTTGCTTCAACTCTCCCCAAATCCCTATTTCCTGCCACTCTACATCTTGCAACTGTTCCCACCCACTGTCTGGGATAGTGCAGTCCAGAAATGGTTTCAAAGCATCACTTACTACAGTATTTGTGTGAATTGGATCTTAGCCAGAATCTTATCTGCCTAGAAATTCCAAATGCACTTTTTTCCTATCTAAATAACTTCTTCAAGCATAAGATTTGGGTTTTTAATGGGCTCTATATATCACTAATAAAGAAAGTTTCATGTATAGCAAAGCATAAATAATAAATCAGGATATCACTGGCATTGTGCTTTCCCTATATAGCAAAATGTCATATTTCATTGTGGGAGGTAACGAATAGGTGTTCTGCATTCTCATGACAGCAGACCAGATGGTAACAAGCATGTCTAAATGCCTGAAAAAAGTAATTCTACAAGGACTTTCTTAAAATAAAAAGTGGAAGGCACTACATAAATCCTGCTACTTCAGCTAGACTGCAGACACATAACATAATTTGTTGAAAAAGAGAAAACAAAAATAATTACATACCCTTATCTTATCTATACCCTTATAGGCAGAACAATTTTTTGGTTTTGCTTATTTGCTTGTTTGCAGTTGTTCCTACATGTGGACAATTGTGGACAATTGGGCAAAAGATTGCTTAGTCTGGCATCCTACTTTCGACAACAGCCAGCCAGATCGTCTCTGAAAAACTGACCTCCTGATAACTTTCTCTGTTTAGGTATCCTGAGGATCCACTACTCAGAAGTATTATCCTTCTGAACTCGGAAGTTCCATTTAGTTACTCTATCAAATAGCTCTGATAGGTCTGTCTTCCATTCATTACCAAAACTCTTTTTAAAGGTCAACTACAAGGAGAGCCTTTGTCTCAGGTTACCGTGATGAATTCTATCAGTTAATCAAGTATATGTGGAGTCTCATTTTGGAAATTTAACTCTAATGTGATCCAATCAAACTCTTAATCAGCTTTCTGAATCAAAGCAGTGATTCAGTTAGAATTGTCAGATCAAATCAGATACTCTGGATATCTTTTGTACATGCACCTATTAGTATTTAAAGTAGTTCAATTCAAGCCAGATCTGATCCAGTAATTTCAGTTTCCATTTTGGGGCAGGGGGACAGATTTTGGGTCTGGGATATGCTATTTACATCTAGTTTGCAAGTGGGGGCTTCTCCAAGAGCTTCTGAAACCAAGAACAGCTGTTTGAACCATGTGAAGCCCTAACTGTAGCTGAATGAACCTATTAATGAGGTTTGTTGGGGAAGAAGGAACATTGGGAGCACCATCACCATTCAAGCAAAGAGAAGTTTCTCTTCCCTCCTACTTGGAGAAAAGCTGAGAAAATTTTCCTCAATAACAGAAACATGATAAATTATTTAGTACAAAATGCACTTAAGGCTAAACTAAATTAAATGAAATATTTACATTGTACTGTTCTACTTCTGTTGTTGTCCCAATCCTATCTGTTTATTCATTCATTAGATGTATGTCCCACCTTTCTTCCAGGAGGTGAATTTGATCTTCACAGCAACCAATATTCAGAGAGGTGGGCTGGGCTGAGAAACAATAACTGGTCTTGTATATTGTCTAACTGGATCCTCATATTATTACACCTCCTTTATTTTTTGCATTTATGTCTCAAGCAAGGTATGACATACAAGTATTCACCCCTTTTACACTCACCATTACCCTTGAAATGACAGAGACAGACTAACTCCAAATTAATTCATCTGTTAAATTTATATCCCAACTTTTCAACAAGATTTCAAACTGGTGTACACTGCATTCCCTACATAGGCTTATCCCCATTTGAAGAACCATCTGTGATGGGCTGGGCTTGAGAGTCAGTGATAGTCCAAAGTCCCCAGTTGAGCTTCCATGGCTGAGGCTGGACTAGAACCTTGGTTTCCCCACTATACCATGATGACCTTGGGGTATGCAGATGCCATAGTTAAAAATTTGCATTTTTAAAGAAGTGCACGTGGACCCCCACTCTTTTATTAAAAAAAAAAAAAAAAGCTACGAAA